GTCTTGCTCAGGCATTATCTCCAATCAGGTCCAACTCAACAGGGGACTTCTTCCCCATCCATGCTGTAATGTCCCCGTAACATCTTACCAGGTATTGTGCAGCACGTTAACAGAATAAAGCCTTACTTGTCAGCCAGGACTAGTGATAGCCTGAGTAAGCTTTTGGTTTATGTTTCCCTGTATTTATCCTTTCTGGTTATTCTCATTTTGGAATGATGAGTTTTGAGACGGTGGTGATGGGGTGCTCCAGCTGATTTTGTTCAGTGCTTTCTCGTGGGCTGGTTTAACGCTTGCTTCCTCGGTGTGGGTTTGTTTCCCAGGGAGGAAGACTGCAGAGCTCTTTTGTCATCCGTGCCAAGCAATGGTGCCTGCTCTGCTTGCATGCTACCTCCTCACCCCAGGCAGCCCCACTGCTCGCCAGCCACTCAAAATCTCTACAGCCTGCAAAAAACAGCAGCCTTTGAAGTTAACATCCCATTAAAATGAATGTTGTGGGGATGCCTAAAGAGCAGGCACAGTCTGGGGAGGGAGACTTCAAAGGAGGCAAAATACAGCAGCGGGGATAGAGCCGAAGGCAGCAGAGCTGCTGGGACAACATAGACCCATGGGAAAGCTGGCTGGGATTGCCAGGGCAGACACACACGGGGTTGGTTAGGAGTGTGCCCACTTGTATCACTTACAAGAAATTTGTTATTACAATTCAAACTCTATTCGGCAAGGATGCTTGTTCAGAAACTCATCCACTCTGGAGGCCCCCGAAGGCAGCATCCTCAGTCCACAGACAGCGTGTACTGCACCAACCCACTGAGCATCGTTAGTCTATGGGAAGCATGATGGACACCGACCCACTGAGCATCATTAGCCCACAGGCAGTGTGCCCTGCACCCACCCAAGTGGGGCCAGGGTCTCGGCATTGACTCAGGCTGGTTTTTACTTCCCCAGGTTGAAGGGTAAGGAGGGAGGAGACAGCCTGAAAGGTTCCCAGTGACTGCTGAAATGAGTACAGACTGTCACAGGGCAAGCAACTGGTCTGTGCTGCGCTGCATCGATGCTCGCGTCCCTCTGCCTGACCCCAGCCTCAGCCCCAAACACAAGGCAAGAAGGCGGGTCGGCACCTCCCTGGCAGGGATTTTGGCTGGCTGAAGCCCACACAGAGGGAGAGAGGCTGGGGCCTGGGTACGGAACCATTTTTTTACATTCCCAACTTTAAAAGAAGTTGAAAAAGCACCCTTTAAAAAAACCCCAAACAAACAAAAAAACAAACACTCAAAATGTTTTGCTGCATTTCATATTTCATTTGCGCTCTTGGCCATGTTGTGGAAATTATTTCAAGCCCTTTGTAAAAAAATCTCACCCTAATCCTATATAAGCAAGGACTTTGGGGACTAGTTGCAGAATTTCCTGCAACTAGGGCTCTGCTCTTGCTGCCACCTTACAACAAGCTTGCAGCAATCAGCTTTCACGGTTTCCGTGCTGTGGTCTTGTGCCAGGGAATGCTCCTCATGGGGCCGGGGAATGCTCCTAAAGCAAGGAAATAATAGAGCAGCAAGCCTTCAGTTCACTATAACCCCTCATTTTTATAATACAGTATGCTTTTCAGCTATGCCTTGGAGAACAAGGTGCCTTGTGGCCAGCAGTTGGTTAAATCCCACACACACTCTAAGAAAGGAAGGGATGCACTGCAATCTCCCAACCAGGGAAACTGAGGCCTATGCAGAGACAGTAGTTACCTAGCAAACCTGTGCGTGGGCTGGGATGGGATTAAAGTTGGGATGGGATTAAAACTAAATTCTGCAAGGTCCTGCTGCCCTACCACACCAACTTAGTGCCAGGAACTCTGCCCCCTCCCTGTGAAATCCACTAGGGGCTTTACTGCTTCTTTTAAGAATAAGTCCCATAGGTTCATACCTCATAATTCAGCTGCCGAAGGAACCTGCAGCCATTCCTGCACATTAGGAAACCCCCGTGAGTCCGGCTCAGGGGAGCAGAGCTGAGAAGTGCCACTGGAGTGGCCGCCAGCTGAGTGCCTTGGCAGGCTTTGACGAACGCTTTGCTGAGCCCCTCTGGGATTAAAGGATCATAAACATGAAGCACGACCTTGGGAGGGTCCATTAAAGTGCAAAATCGCTATGGAAAAGCTCTCTATAATTTAAGAGGGGATGGAGCCAGAAGGGCTTTGGTGACTCATGTTATAGCTCCTGAAGACAACCGAGGCAGCGCTTCCCCTTTCAGTGTACGAGTTGGGAGATCAGGGCTAGCCCTTCTGGGGGCCCAGGCACGAGGCACTGGGTTTACTGGGATGCTTCAAGATGGGCTGTCCAGAAGCAAGGAGCAGGAAGAGGCAGCCACCATGGAAGATCTGGGTTCAGTGACGTGGCAGCACTGGGTAGGAGAGGAGTCAAGACCAGCCTGCCCGTTTTTTGGGGTATTATCCATCTTCCTCAGCCAGGAGCTGATCCTTACTCCCCCTGCAAGATTCAAACCGTGCAGCAAGCAAGGACCACATCTGTGAGATAAGGATCACAAGCCAGATTCAGAGTACAATTTCTCCAATATATGTAGCTCTCTTTTGACTAAACTGAGAAGCCACTGAAGTCCCCTCACCTTATAAAGCTCCATGTGGGACACGGTCAGGGTTTTAGCACAGTACTCCTCTTTTGGAGTGACCTGGAGGGGATAACTGGGGAGGAACAGGTTGGGTGCAGACCTCACATATCACTTCTCTGCCTGCACATCCCACCACCTAAGTGTGTCCCTCATGCAACAAGCAGATGCCCACCTCCTCCCGTTAGCATTTCTGTGACTTCAATTGCTACTTAGAGCCAGATTTTCAAAAGCAGGCAGTATCCAACATCCCAAAGGTCCAGAGAAGAAGAAATAGAGGGTGTAGGTCACACAGGAGGATCTTCTCATCTTAGGCACTTCTTTCATTCTCTCGTGCTGATGCAGGGGGTCTGTAAATGAGTGGGCTTTACTCTTTGATTTGGATCTTATATGAAATATGCGGTCAGAACAACCAGCAAAATATGAACTGAAACACAAGTACATGTCAAGATGGGGAGAATGACCCCTTCATGGCCAGGTACAGCAGCTTCCTTCGGGTGACCTCTGCATCTGGTCATAATATTGCTCCATTAGCTGAGACAGACTGCTTCAGTGTGCAGTGGATAATCACAGAAAATAGCTGTAGAAATATCCTACCAGATCATCTGCTCCTGCCAGGGCTGGTAACCAGGCATTAGCCAAGCGATGGCTGAACAGCAGCCACATCTTCCCACCATGACCCTGGTCCTGGTGCCCTGTGTGGGATGGGAAAGGATGGGTTAAGGAGCATGGAAGGGGACCTGGCAGAGCCATGCCAGAGCCCTGGGGCACAGCCCGTGCTCAGTGCTCATTCATCTCGATGTAAAGGGGAAGCCAAAACACCCTGTTAGCACTGAGCTGCTGTGAAATTCCCATTTTTCCAGTCAGCCGGAGCCAAAAGACATGCTGGAAACCAGAAAGGACCAGTGGAAACAAGATCCTGCACTACAGCAGTGGCCAGAGCAGAGCATCTCACCCAGGGTTAAAGACATTTGCTCCAAGAACAACTTCGTGCTGACCTCTCCAGTCTTGGGTGGGATTTAAAAAACAGGAGTGGAAATAGACCAGCTCAGTATTGCTGTCTATGTAGTTTCACCTTGTTTTACATGGCACCCAGGTTCAGAGAAGAGCAGGGCACAGCAATTTGTCGTGTGGCTGGCAGTGAGAATCCTCCACCCCTTGCTGGAAAAAATAATTTAAGAAAAAAGAAGCTGACCTTAAAGGTTGCCCTCAGGCTCAAGCAGAAAATCATTCCATGGTACCTTCCTCCTACCTGTATTTTATTTTCCTTTCCCAAATCCCTGCCCAGCTAGGGCTGTGGCAGCAGCAGCATTAGGAAAGGGCCAGCCTGTCATCGGTCAGATGTGCACACAGACAAACCAACACGCTGAGCGGCTCAGCCTTCCTAAGTGGTCCTGGGCAGCCTGTCAAGTCCCGAGCTTGTCTGCAGAATGTGGTTGTAATTAGATAATTAATAACTTTGAGAAGGAAAGGAAAGGAAATAAGCTAAATGGAAGCTTTCCTTAGTGGGAGGAAATAATTATATCTGCTTTTTGATATATGAGCTGAGGTGGCTTTCCGAAGGCAGAAACAGCATCTCGCCTGCGAAGCCATGCCTCCCTCAAGTTAGTCTGGATCTCCCATGGGCTCTGCTGGGTCACGGAGTTTGTCCCACCAGCCCACAAATGAGCAGCAGCAGGTTGCTACAGACCAGAGCAAAACCTGCAGGTAACAAGGACCCCTGACGTGTTGCTGCGCCTCATTCACATCTCGATAAGTGGCACAGAGGAGGGATGATACGCAGGTCTGGGTCACCAGGAACCGTGTGGAAAATGGGATTCAGCACATCCCTCGGGGTTGGAGATGCTGCTGTCAGCATACGGACTTTTGATGGATTCATTGCTCCTGCTCACGGACTTAGATTTCACAGTACAATGCAAAAAAAGGCTGTGACATTACCAGACTCTGGACTTAGGCTATACACCCAAAATCAAAGGAATCGTTACATTTAGGCTCAATTTGTATTGATTTTGGATGTGCTTAGATATTGCATAAATGTGCTACCCCTGGATGAAAAGAAAACGTATTTGTTTCCAGCAGGGTTTGCCTGATTTTGCAGGAGGAGCTGAGAGTTGCTGTGGGTGGGGTTTCTCAAGCCCATCTCAGGCACCCCAGCATCCAATCTCCCCGTTTCACTTCCTTAAGGGGTGGTGAGGGTTGCTCCTGGTGCATCCCTGCTGTGGGAATAACCGTGTGCCTCCGCACTGCTGGGACCAGGTTTCAATACGTGGTTAAGGGTGTTCATGAACCACATTCTTCATTTGTAGG